GATTTGATCTTAGTCCTGTATTGACGCTTTGCCTGTTTGATGGTTCGTCGGAGGGCATAGCGGGATTTCTTATTAGCTTCCGGGTTAGAGTCCCGCTCCTTCAAAGCGGCAGCTCTACCCTTTAGCTCAGTGTAAATGTTGCCTGTAATCCATGGCTTCTGGTTGGGGTATGTACGTACAGTCACTGTGGGGACGACGTCATCAACGCACTTATTGATGAAGCCAGTGACTGATGTGGTGTACTCCTCAATGCCATCGTAAGAATCCCGTAACATATTCCAGTCTGTGCTAGCAAAACAGTCCTGCTTCATCTGACCTCTTTTTTTATTGACCGAGTAACTGGTGCTTCCTGCTTTAGTTTTTGCTTGTAAGCAGGAATCAGGAGGATAGAATTATGGTCAGATTTGCCAAATGGAGGGCGAGGGAGAGCTTTGTACGCGTCTCTGTGTGTGGAGTAAAGGTGGTCTAGAGTTTTTTTTCCTCTGGTTGCACATTTAACATGCTGGTAGAAATTAGGTAGAACGGATTTAAGTTTCCCTGCATTAAAGTCCCTGGCCACTAGGAGCGCTGGCTCTGGATGAGTGTTTTCCTGTTTACTTATGGCCTTATACAGCTCATTGAGTGCAGTCTTAGTGCCAGTATTGGTTTGTGGTGGTATATAGACAGCTACGAAAAATATAGAAGAAAACTCTCTTGGTAAATAGTGTTGTCTATAGCTTATCATGAGATACTCTACTTTAGGCGAGCAAAACCATGAGACTTCCTTAGTATTAGATTTGTTGCACCAGCTGTTGTTTACAAATATACACAGACCGCCACCCCTGGTCTTACCGGAGTCAGCCGTTCTATCCTGACATGTAGCGTCTATCCCGCCAGCTGTATGTTATCAATGTCATCGTTCAGCCACGACTCAGTGAAACATAAGATATTACAGTTTTTAATGTCCCGTTGGTAGGATACCCGTAATCTTAGGTCGTCTACCTTATTTTCAAATGATTGATCATTGGCTAATAGGATTGATGGAAGAGGCAGTTTACTCGCTCGCCGTCGGATCCTTACAAGGCACCCCGACCTACGTCCACGATATCTCTGTCTCTTTCTCATGCAAATGACGGGGATTTGGGCCTTGTCGGGTGTCTGTAGGATATCCTTTGCGTCCGACTCGTTGAAGAAAAAAATCTTCGTCCAATACGTGGTGAGTAATCGCTGTCCTGATATCCAGAAGCTCTTTTTGGTCATAGCAGACGGTGGCAGAAACATTATGTACAGAATAAATTAGAAATAACGCCAAAAAACACACATAATAGTAGAATTGGTTAGAGGGCTGTAAAACGGCAGCCATCTTCTCCGGCAGCCACCACTATGCTTGAAAATATGGAGAGTGGTACTCAGTAATGTGTTGTATTGGATTTGCCCCAAACATAAAACGATGTATTCAGGACAAAAAGTGAATTGCTTTGCCACATTTCTTGCAGTATTACTTTAGTGTCTTGTTGCAAACAGGATGCATGTTTTGGAATCTTTTTATTCTGTACAGGCTTCCTTCTTTTCACTCTGTCAATTAGGTTAGTATTGTGTAGTAACTACAATGTTGTTGATCGATGCTCAGTTTTCTCCTATCACAGCCATTAAACTCTGTAACTGTTTTAAAGTCACCATTGGCCTCATAGTGAAATCCCTGAGCGGTTTCCTTCCTCTCCGGCAACGGAGTTAGGAAGGACGTCTGAATCTTTGTAGTGACTGGGTTTATTGATACACCATCCACAAAGTGTAATTCGTTAATTTTGTATTTTACCCATCTACCAATAGGTGCCCTTTTTCACGAGGCATTGGAAAACCTCCCTGGTCTTTGTGGATAAACCTGTGTTTGAAATTGACAGCTCGACTGAGGTACCTTACAGATAATTATATGTGTGGGTTAGAGAGATGAGGCAGTCATTCAAAAATCATGTTAAACACTATTATTGCACACAGAGTGAGTCCATGCAACATGTGTGACTTGTTAAGCAACATTTTACTGAACTTCTTTAAGCTTTCCATAACAAAGGGGTTGAATACTTGAATCAAGACATCTCAGCTTTTCATTTTTTATTAAAATGTTTGAAAAACATAATTCCACTTTGACGTTATGGGGTATTGTGTGTAGGTAGGCCAGTGACAAAAAATCAATTTAATTACATTTTAAATTCAGGCTGTAAAACAAAGAAAATGTGGAAAAGGTCAAGGGGTGTGAATACTTTCTGAAGACACTATGGATACAGTTGAAGTCGGAAGTTTACATACACTTAGGTTGGAGTCAATAAAACTAGTTTTTCAACCACTCCACACATTTCTTATTAACAAACTATAGTTTGGGCAAGTCGGTTAGGACATCTACTTTGTGCATGACACAAGTAATTTTTCCAAAAACTGTTTACAGACAGATTATTTCACTGTATCACAATTCCAGTGGGTCAGAAGTTTACATACACTAAGTTGACTGTGCCTTTAAACAGCTTGGAAAATTCCAGAAAATGATGTCATGGCTTTAGAAGCTTCTGATAGGCTAACTGACATCATTTTAGTCAATTGGAGGTGTACCTGTGGATGTATTTCAAGGCCTACCTTCAAACTCACTGCCTCTTTGCTTGACATCATGGGAAAATCAAAATAAATCAGCCAAGACCTCAGAAAGAAAATTGTAGACCTCCACAAGTCTGGTTCACACTTGGGAGCAATTTCCAAACGCCTGAAGGTACCACGTTCATCTGTACAAACAATAGTACACAAGTATAAACACCATGGGACCACGAAGCTGTCATACCGCTCAGGAAGGAGACGCGTTCTGTCTCCTAGAGATGAACGTACTTTGGTGCGAAAAGTGCAAATCAATCCCAGAACAACAGCAAAGGACCTTGTGAAGATGCTGAAGGAAACAGGTACAAAAGTATCTATATCCACAGTAAAATGAGTCCTATATCGACATAACCTAAAAGGCCGCTCAGCAAGGAAGAAGCCACTGCTCTAAAACCGCCATAAAAAAGCCAGACTACGGTTTGCAACTGCATATGGGGACAAAAGTCGTACTTTTTTGAGAAATGTCCTCTGGACCTGTTTGGCCATAATGACCATTGTTATGTTTGGAGGAAAAAGGGGGCTACTTGCAGAAGAACACCATCCCAACCGTGAAGCACGGGGGTGGCAGCATCATGCTGTGGGGGTGCTTTGCTGCAGGAGGGACTGGTGCACTTCACAAAATAGATGGCATCATGAGGAACGAAAATTATGTGGATATAATAATAATAATAATAATAATAATAAGCCATTTAGCAGACGCTTTTATCCAAAGCGACTTACAGTCATGAAGCAACATCTCAAGACATCAGTCAGGAAGTTAAAGCTTGGTCGCAAATGGGTCTTCCAAATGGACAATGACCCCAAACATACTTCCAAAGTTGTGGCAAAATGGCTTAAGGACAACAAAGTCAAGGTATTGGAGTGGCCATCACAAAGCCCTGACCTCAATCCTATAGAAAATGTGTGGGCAGAACTGAAAAAGCGTGTGCGAGCAAGGAGGCCTACAAACCTGACTCAGTTACACCAGCTCTGTCAGGAGGAATGGGACAGAATTCACCCAACTTATTGTGGGAAGTTTGTGGAAGGCTACCAGAAACGGTTGACCCAAGTTAAACAATTTAAAGGCAATGCTACCAAATACTAATTGAGTGTATGTAAACTTCTGACCCACTGGGATTGTGATGAAAGAAATAAAAGCTGAAATAAATCATTCTCTCTACTATTACTCTGACATTTCACATTCTTAAAATAAAGTGGTGATCCTAACTGACCTAAGACAGGGAATTTTTACTAGGATTAAAATGTCAGGAATTGTGAAAAAACTGAGTTTAAATGTATTTGGCTAAGGTGTATGTAAACTTCCGACTTCAACTGTAGATATGAATAATTTTTTACATTTTACATTACATTTTAGTCATTTAGCAGACGCTCTTATCCAGAGCAACTTACAGTTAGTGAATGCATACGTTTTATTTTTTTCATACTGGCCCCCCGTGGGAAACAAACCCACATCCCTTCCGGCCAAACCCTCCCCTACCTTGGACAATGCTGGACCAATTGTGCGCCGCCCATGGGTCTCCCGGTCGCGGCCAGCTGCGACAGAGCCTACAAATTATTCAAGTATAAAGTTTACGATAGATTGCCTTGAGCGCTGTAATTATACGTCATAATTAAACTTTATGTGATGTGTATTATGTAGGGCTGGGCGATATGGCCAAAATATCACAGTATTTTTCCCATTTTTGACGGTATTTTATGTTTCTAAATAATACAAATTCTAAACATGCTTTATGGGTAGTACATGGCAACAAATTAATTGTAAGTGGTCAATGGGCTTTGTCCATTATGATTGCTTTATACTGTAAAATAATAGGAGGACAAAACTGATAGTGAAGTAGTCAAAATCCTCTTTTGTAGCCTCAATCTGGTACTCAACCAATGGTTTCCGTTTGCATAGTTATTTGTTGAATTCCAGCATTCACTTCCTGCATTCATTTTAATTTTCTTAATTTCCTCTACTAATTTGTTATCATTTACACGCTGTGTCACATTTATTTTGTCTTAGTATGCCTCTATCCCCCCCAAAAAATGTTTCTCTGACTATTTTCGACTTCAATTGCAGTTCTTACCTTCAACTAGGTAGTTGGACGATTTCCGGGGGTCTATTTGGCAAGCTTACCATCCCGAAGTTGTTGACTTGTTGTGCTAGAAAGTTAGCTAGCAGTTCTCAGCTGTTAGCAGTTTCTTAGTGGAGCTAAAAACAGATGATTGCCATAATTATTTCGGGAAAACCCAAAACTGAATTATTTAATGTAACAAATCAAACATTAAAAATACCATTATAGAAGGTAAAGTAAAAATCCAAACCGGTCCGTGAATTAATACGGCCAGCCCCAGTACCATGTGGTGATGAGACTGGCTGTGAGTAATGTGACGTGACATACCCCTCTCCAGACAATGGTCTCCATGATGAGGTGTTCGCAGCGCTCCAGGTGCTTGACGATGTCTTTGCTCAGGCTGGGCTCAGCCTTGATGAAGCGCTCGATCACCTTGTAGAAGTCAAACGCTGTCAGCTGAAACACATCCAGGATCCACGGGAAGCACAGGTCCATCTCCACGGGGACACTACCACCGTTGCTGTAGCCACTGTTCTTGAAGGAGCTCCCTGATTGGACAACAGATAGTGAAATCATGACTCATAGCGCATCTGGGTTCTATTGATTATGATCTGGTTTATAAATGTTATTAAAGGGAACGACATACTGTACATTGTAACATGTATGTTTTTTTCTAATTCTATCAATATTACTAGAAATGTTCTATGAGAAGTTAGTACATAGCTATTAAAGGTCGGTAGAATGATCTATATGAGGTTCATCCAGATGACTGCATCCATTAGCAGTGAGTGAATGTGGGTACTGGAGAGACTCACCACCATAGGTTGCCATTATGACCTCCAAAGCACAGGCCAGGAGTGAGGTGTGGAATGTGCAGTCATTGAGGAGTTTACTGTCATGGAAATCACATGACAGGTCAGATAAATGGGCAATAGCACACTCCATAGATGAACAGTACACTGTGTATACACACTGCAACTATTTTAGTATTTTTTAGTCTAATTTAAGAACTAATCATTTTAATTCTGATAAGATTAGCATATTGTGTTATGTTGCATACCTGAAATTCTGCCCTATTGGGGAGAAAATAGACTTATCAGACATTTAAGAAAATATGGAGGTAAAACCGAAATAGAAATAAGACCAGGTCATTTACCGATTTCAGCATGGACTCCATGACTCTGTAATACAACTGGACCCCAAGGGTGAACCTCTGATGAAGAGAAGGAGAATACATTCATGAGTTTATGACTACATTAGTGTGTCATATAGTGGTCTGCCTGCACTGGGGTGTATCAACCAAATATCATAGGTCAGATTCAAAAAGTGGCATGGTTATCATCTCTGTCAGGTCTATGGGTAAAACTAAAGAAAACTCTGTATCAACAGTTTAGACCACCCCCTTCTCTCAAGTAATATAATTCCTCAGTATAGTGTGCTGCATGTAAGCCAGGTGGTACCTGTTTGCCCAGCCCCACAGTGTGGCCCCTCAGCCTGACCAAATATCTGGCAGAACAGCTGACCCAGACGCTCCACATGCTGCAACACCTCCTCTGTCGGGTCCACTGTGCACTTCTGGCAGGACGAGGAGAGGTTTAAAATAGCAGGAACATACCCACAAAATGACTTGAAGTATATGAGTCAATGGTATGGCAGGTGAAGTTAAACTAAGTTGTACCTTGAAATACACAGCCAGGATAGCAGAGGGCTGGTCACCAGAGGAGGTGAGATCAACCCTCAACTGTACAATGGAGTTCATGGCAGATCTGTGGAGATATGGGTGAAAATGCATGATAACTATAATGTTAGAACTCAACGAGACAACAGAAATATAAATAAACTGATTGGGTATACCTGTTCAGGGACACTTAAATCTTACTGTAATTCCAGAAAACCAAATGAGAAATTAACAGGAGTGAAAGATACACTGAGTACACAACACATTAAGGACACCTCTTTCCATGACATAGACTGACCAAGTGAATGCTATGATCCCCTATTGATGTCACTTACTAAATCCACTTCAATCAGTGTAAATGAAGGGGAGGAGACCGGTTAAAGGAGGATTTGTATGCCTCGAGACATGGGTTGTGTATGTGTGCCATTCAGAGGGTTAATGGGCAAGACAAAGTGCCTTTGAACAGGTATGGTAGTAGGTGCCAGGCGGACCGGTTTGAGTGTGTCAAGAACCGCAACGCTGCTGTGTTTTTCACACTTAACAGGTTCCTGTGTGTATCAAGAATGGTGCACCACCAAAAGGACAACCAGACAACTTGACACAAAAGTGGGAAGCATTGGAGTCAACATGGCCCAGCATCCCTGTGGAACGCTTGACACCTTGTAGAGTCCATGCCCCGACAAATTGCGGCTGTTCTGAGTGCAAAAGGGGGCGTGCAACTCAATATTAGGAAGGTGTTCATAATGTTTGGTATACTCAGTGCATACACACACGACTAATGTTCAAAGCCATGAACTGATTTTGTGAAAGTAATTTGTGTGTGACTTTCAACCCTTGAACGTTACTTGTAATAAATAAGAGTCATTGACAGACATGTTGGGCCTCGACATGCTATCCCCCTTCGTTTCTTAACCCCTCTCATGAGAGCCACGTGAAAACATCAAAGCACATATCTCCTTGTGGTATTCAGGGTCATGTGATCTGATACCATTCATAAAGAGCATGGGTGGAAGTGATTAATTAAGAACCCCTTTCATATCTACAGGATTTTTCTATGAATAGCTCTATGTTCTGTAGTATGAAGCATCTTGATGTACAAGTACACCCCCTGGACAGGACTCTCAAACATCATAGGAGTAAACGTCTGTCCTTCCAGGGGAACACGCTGTTCTAGGCCAGTTGAGGATGGACAGTCAGCTGGTGGTAAGGGCTAAGGAGTGGAGGTCAGAGGGGGCTCACCTGACAGGCGTCTGTGGGGGGATGAGAACAACATCCTCTTCAGGCAGGTTCTTCCTCTGTGTCCTTTCTACCTGCATTCTGAAAGGAGAAGGGAGGGGGCATTATACACTGCTAGGTATACTGAGACTATTTATTTGAGACTACTTCTTTGTCATTAATGTCATTATTTGAGGTTCTACTTACAGTTCTACTTTGGGACTAAGAAGTGTCTCATCATTATCCAAGAACAGCCTGCTGTCAAAGTCTCTGATATACTCATACTGCTTGCTGAGGTCAATCACCTGAAAGGAGAACAGGATGTTGCAACAGGCTCTGACAGGTATGAAACGACATCATGGATATTCCAATCCTACAGAAACGTCAGCACTTTAGTATGAATCATCAAGGGCTCACACACCCCAGCCACGAGCTGTTCTCTCCCTTAACGTCGGGCAGACGGTATCGGAGCATGAGGTCTGATAGAAACTCTCTCTCTGAGCCTGTTGGTATCTACAAGCCATCAGACTGCTGAACACTTGAAATGGACTGACCACCTGCTCTGATTCTCCACACCTTAGCACACATACATACACACATCAGAACTGCTGCTACCAGACTTATTATACTGCTCAATTTATACACTAAAGTGTTATTTCCTCTCCATAGCTGCCCCTGTAATATACTGTCCTGAGATACCACATCTAATTAAGATTCAACTGCTCATGTACATGTTTCCATGACACTGTCCTTTCAAAAGAAAAACATTACAGTATACCACATCCTGACAGAAAAGCTTTCAGACGCACACAAAACTGGATGAAAAAAAACAAAAACGAATGAATGAGTAGTTGTGTCCAAACCTTTGACTGGTACTGTGTGTGTGTGTGTGTATGTATATCTCTATATATATATACACACAGTGGGGAAAAAAAGCATTTAGTCAGCCACCAATTGTGCAAGTTCTCCCACTTCAAAAGATGAGAGAGGCCTGTAATTTTCATCATAGGTACACATCAACTATAACAGACAAATTGAGGGGGAAAAAATCCAGAAAATCACATTGTAGGATTTTTAATGAATTTATTAGCAACTTATGGTGGAAAATAAGTATTTGGTCACCTACAAACAAGCAAGATTTCTGGCTCTCACAGACCTGTAACTTCTTCTTTAAGAGGCTCCTCTTGTCCTCCGCTCGTTACCTGTATTAATGGCACCTGTTTGAACTTGTTATCAGTATAAAAGACACCTGTCCACAACCTCAAACAGTCACACTCCAAACTCCACTATGGCCAAGACCAAAGAGCTGTCAAAGGACACCAGAAACAAAATTGTAGACCTGCACCAGGCTGGGAAGATTGAATCTGCAATAGGTAAGCAGCTTGGTTTGAAGAAATCAACTGTGGGAGCAATTATTAGGAAATGGAAGACATACAAGACCACTGATAATCTCCCTCCATCTGGGGCTCCACGCAAGATCTCACCCCGTGGGGTCAAAATGATCACAAGAACGGTGAGCAAAAATCCCAGAACCACACGGGGGGACCTAGTGAATGACCTGCAGAGAGCTGGGACCAAAGTAACAAAGCCTACCATCAGTAACACACTACGCCGCCAGGGACTCAAATCCTGCAGTGCCAGACGTGTCCCCCTGCTTAAGCCAGTACATGTCCAGGCCCGTCTGAAGTTTGCTAGAGTGCATTTGGATGATCCAGAAGAGGATTGGGAGAATGTCATATGGTCAGATGAAACCAAAATAGAACTTTTTGGTAAAAACTCAACTCGTCGTGTTTGGAGGACAAAGAATGCTGAGTTGCATCCAAAGAACACCATACCTACTGTGAAGCATGGGGGTGGAAACATCATGCTTTGGGGCTGTTTTTCTGCAAAGGGACCAGGACGACTGATCCGTGTAAAGGAAAGAATGAATGGGGCCATGTATCGTGAGATTTTGAGTGAAAACCTCCTTCCATCAGCAAGGGCATTGAAGATGAAACGTGGCTGGGTCTTTCAGCATGACAATGATCCCAAACACACCGCCCGGGCAACGAAGGAGTGGCCTGGCCAGTCTCCAGATCTCAACCCCATAGAAAATCTTTGGAGGTAGTTGAAAGTCTGTGTTGGCCAGCGACAGCCCCAAAACATCACTGCTCTAGAGGAGATCTGCATGGAGGAATGGGCCAAAATACCAGCAACAGTGTGTGAAAACCTTGTGAAGACTTACAGAAAACGTTTGACCTGTGTCATTGCCAACAAAGGGTATATAACAAAGTATTGAGAAACTTTTGTTATTGACCAAATACTTATTTTCCACCATAATTTGCAAATAAATTCATTAAAAATCCTACAATGTGATTTTCTGTTTTTTTTCTTCTCATTTTGCCTGTCATAGTTGACGTGTACCTATGATGAAAATTACAGGCCTCTCATCTTTTTAAGTGGGAGAACTTGCACAATTGGTGGCTGACTGAATACTTTTTTTCCCCACTGTATATACACAGTGGGGAGAACAAGTATTTGATACACTGCCGATTTTGCAGGTTTTCCTACTTACAAAGCATGTAGAGGTCTATAATTTTTATCATAGGTACACTTCAACTGTGAGGAATCTAAAACAAAAATCCAGAAAATCACATTGTATGATTTTCAAGTAATTAATTTGCATTTTATTGCATGACATAAGTATTTGATCATCTACCAACCAGTAAGAATTCCGGCTCTCACAGACCTGTTAGTTTTTTCTTTAAGAAGCCCTCCTGTTCTCCACTCATTACCTGTATTAACTGCACCTGTTTGAACTCGTTACCTGTATAAAAAGACACCTGTCCACACACTCAATCAAACAGACTCCAACCTCTCCACAATGGCCAAGACCAGAGAGCTGTGTAAGGACATTATGGATAAAATTGTAGACCTGCACAAGGCTGGGATGGGCTACAGGACAATAGGCAAGCAGCTTGGTGAGAAGGCAACAACTGTTGGCGCAATTATTCGAAAATGGAAGAAGTTCAAGATGACGGTCAATCACCCTCGGACTGGGGCTCCATGCAAG